CATCCTTGCTGAATAAAAGTTTTAATTTCTTTCAAAAAAAGAAAGAATAAAAATGTACTGACCCCAAACTTTTGATCGGTAGTGTATATTGTTAGAAAATATTTCTATTTTGAATAAATGCTGTTCTTTTTAACTTTTTATTCATCATAGAATCCTGAAAAAAAGTATCACAGTTTCCAAAAAAAATATTTAGCAGTTGATAATTCTAATAATAAATCAGCATATTAGAATGATTTCTGAATTTACTGGTCATAAAAGTGTATTTTGCATTTTTAATCAAAACTGTATCTGTCTCCTAACACAAAACAAACACTGTGCTTTTGTAGCGAACACTGCAGGTTATTGTGACAGCACTGCATTACTGCAGAACCTTTCGATTATTCCATATCGCCGTTTTTATTTTTTGTTGGTCAGCCCACATCTAGACACAAAGATATAAGATTATGTACATGCCGTAAACTGTAGCAGATTCTGTAATTATCATATCACATGCCCATATATAAAGGCAACACACTGTGATGCACACTGTCATAGATACATAAATACAAATAAATGAATAAATATACAGTGCTTATAAATTGATTTCACAACCATTACATCTGAAACAGAAAGTGTGAAGTAAGAAGGGGAAGGAAGGCTTTTATTATGACGTTTCTTCCTCTTCATTGATTCCCAGTGTGCACAGACTTCCACTAATGTTAAGACTGTGCCTTAAGAACTAGTTTGACCAACTAGTAGTTAACCAAGCGGGTAATCAGTCTTACTTTTCAGATTTAAATCAGACTAGTCTATATTTGTATGTAGCTGACTGCAAGTTTATAACAAGTCTTAAAGAAAACAAGCAGCTTATGCAACCGGCCATTGCTTACAGCATTTACTTCTTTTTTCTTTTCCACATTTTTAACAATTTAGAAACCAAAAAGTTGCTATCTTAAGTAGAAATCTGTTTATTTCTTTTTTCAAGTTCACCTTTTTTTCTAATTGATTCATTTTTAAATTTATTTCTAATAAATCCTAGTAAATTTAATTGCAGAAATTGTTATGCATGCTTTCCAAGATATGGGATCTGCATCAGCCATCAAAAAAATCCTATACTCGTGAATTAGTCTCATGTTCAAGCAATTGTTTTATTATGTCGTGGTTATGACAGTATAAGTAAGCCCTGCTAACATTAGCTTAGTGTAAATTAAATGGAAACATCACAGGCTAACGTTAACAAGCTGCAACATTTGAACATTAGTAACATTAATCAATATCAATATCAGCTGCCCAAAACGTGCCTGCTCGTCTGCTACAGTACCTACAGCCTAAAACTCATTTGGCTAGAGCTCATTTCTGAAGCTCGTCCAGAGAAGCTCTCAGAATGACATTCTAAGATGCTGATTCTGGTGAATTTGGTGGAGAAGCCTTCTGCCTATATTGGATCTGTGCAGTGGGTCTTAAAGGGACAGCAACCTAATTTACCTGCTGCTGTCTGTCATTATTAGTGTTAATCACTCACTGTACTTAACTGAATATCTTTTGGATCTTTAATCAGAATCAGTTCATGTTTGATTGGTATAGTGAAGACTATGCAGTGTTTTACTTGTACACTTTATTCAATTTCTGTAATATTTCTTACTATGTTAAATAAGCCTACTGCAGCCTACTGTGGCCAGGGTTCGTACACATTTTTACCAATAAATTTCCATGACTTTTGAGACGACATTCATGACCTAATGTTCCATTATTTCACAAGAATACATGTAAAATAAGCAGAAAAATCTACGTTCAAATTTATCATATGTTAACTAAAATGAATGACTATTAATGCTACTTCTTTACTTTCTGTTTGTTTTAATAAACTGTAAATTAAAAAAAAGATTAATCCTTCAAATTAAAGTTACAAAGTGATTTAGTCAAGAGCAGTGAGTGATCTTCACTTTGTCTTTTGTTGTTTAATTAACATTAATGACAGGCTTTATTAGGCTGCTGTCCCTTTAAGACCGACTGCACGGATCTGATACACACAACAGTTTTCTTTCTCAACAACTGCTTACATTCACTTAAGACAAAACCGACTGTGTTTATGAAGATACTAGCCAGGACGGGCATTTTGACATCATTTAATGTGTATTTGGCCACTTGAGCGCAATAAGCCGAGAAAAATAATGTTCGAGGCGGCTTTGTATGCATGCACTTTGGATGTGACTGTGAGCGCGCAGAAAACCGTCTGGAGCGTGCGACTATCGAATGGTTTAAAAAGACTTAAAAAAAAAAAAGATGTGCAAATGATAGTTTTGTGATGATGCAACACTGGCCCGATTAGGCACGTGACTGTTAACTGTCCCGAAACATGAGCGAAAGTCTCGCATCGCAGCGTCTCGGCCCGCCACAATATCAACACTGACCGCCACAAATAGTTTTTCCAAAAGGCTTTGACTTCGTTGAATAAACATGAGCTCTGCACATTTCAAAATCAAACCGCAGCACGGGTGAATTTATATAAATGTATCTTTTTTGAAAGGAACCGATTGTCTTCAGAAAAGTTTTGATGTCATTTTCATTTAAGCTTTCCTATAATGCCTGATAAAGTAGCGTTCATGAGCGCAACGCTGCTTTGTTTACAGCCGTTACCGGGGAAACCGCTCTATTTCTGCTGCTCCTAAAGCGCCTCCTGCTGGCAGAGAATGAATTTGCGCTTTCAATAAGCCCGTCTTCTGTCTTATATTTACATTATATATTTCCCCAAGGGAAGTGCCGGCACACATAGAGTGCAAGTCTGTGGGAAACACTGTACATGCTAATATTAAATACATGTTTGTGGGAATTTCCCGCATTATAGTAAAACTAGGCGAAATATGCACGCTCCCACACCAAAATTCAGGACCTGATTAAAAAAAAAAAAATCCTATCGTACAGAGATTTGTGAAATAAATTTTTCCAAAACCTTCTGGGTTTATTGATTTTTCCAAAACTTTTCCAGGCCTGGAAATTGCCGTTTTAAAATGGACTTTTCCAGGTTTTTCGTGACCGCATGAACCCAGTGTGGCGGAATCAAATGTTTATTTGTATATTTATTTGTTCTGTTGTGTTTGTAATTTGCTTCTTTTTCTTATTTTAAGTAACAAAAAAAATAAATAAAGAAATAGCTATATCGAGACATATATTTTGATCGCAAAAAACTAAATTTCTCATACCGTGAAATAAGGTTTTGGTCATACCGCCCACCCCTACTTGAGCTTATAGAAAATTACAGAACATTAACAGAAAAAAACAGTGCATTGTGGAGCACAGTGCATTGTTTTCTACATTTCAACGACCCATTATTCCTTACTCGACACCAATTAAACAGAGAAAGACGAAGGCACCGCTGGCTCTGACCTGCTCCTGGCCGTCTCTCAGTATGGAGAGCTCCTGCTCCACTTCTCCCACATGACTGTTTGCTTTGGCCACCTCGGCTCTCTCCAGGTCACGCTCGGCGAGGAGCTGCTCGATGTGCTGCTGCTTCTCCTTCAGCGCCTCCTGGAGTGCCGTAGTGCCAGAGACCTTCCTCGCATACCTTGCAGACGTCTCTGTCAGCTTCAGAGAGAAACTCGTTCAGGACCTTTCAGGCTCAATATTCTCTCAGATATGACCTTCGCTCTAAAGCTGGACTCACTGATGTTACTGAAAGGTCACCTTGAAATTGTTACCAAGTAGCCACATGCTATTCCGAATGCATCCATTTATGCATTCTTTTGATTAGAAAGCAAGTTATTGAGTAATTCATTTGGATTTTGTGCACACACAAAACAGAAATTTAACTAGAACTGATAGTTGCAACTTGCAAGGTTTGATGTGCATCTGATAATCAGTCTAGGAATAGTTAGTATGCTTTTCAGAAAATTACAAATGCACGGATGCCTAGTAAATGTGCTGATTATAACTAGAGTGTTTTATAACGAGCCTGATTTGGGTAGAAAGCAGGCATTTGCCTAAAGTAGACATTCATGAGCTGGGTTTCCTGAAATGCTGCATACTAAAACAGCGCAGCTGATCAGTGAATTTGTTTATGGGACACTGGTCTATCCGTTTGAGACCTGGCTGGTCAACTGGCTCAACCAATCGCTCGAGTTTGCCAAAAAACAGCTGATGGGAAAACCCAGTCTGGGAAACGATTTTGCAATTGCATTTTGGTGCTGCTAACATCACAGAAATTACATATTTTGGCCCTGTTAAGCATGCTAGAGCTATGTAACCGAAGATAAGTGCACTCACCAGTCCAGTTCGGCTGGGCTTGCAACTAGCAGACGAGGCCACGGAGCTCATGGAGCTGATGGAGGAGGCGCTGGGGCTGCGCTTCAGTTCTGATGCCGTGGTTGCAGTTTTCCGCACAGTGCTCTTTGCCTTGGCCGGGGTGGTGGAGGGAAAACCTATCCGGGTCACCTTGTGCACTGGTGCAAACAGCCCATACTTGTGCTGACACTGGAAATACCTGATGACACAGACACACAAATCCGTGCATGAAAACTCTGGGCATTCTGATAATGCACGTCTCCTACGCAGAGGGCGAATGAAAGGACAGGCCACAGTACCTGGTTCCAGCCACAGCACCATCGTTCTTTCCCAAGGGCTCGTCCAGCTCAACTCCACACCACTCACCCTTGGCAAACTCCGTCTCGCCCAAGAAACGCACCGCACCAGCTTTCGAGCCAGCAACCTGTGAAGGAAACAAGAACTTAACATGCATTCTGAGTAGGGATGCACCGGTTGACCGGCCGGTAGGGATGGGCGATATGGGCTTATAAATGTATCACGATAATTTCTGATATTTATTGCGATAAAGATATCAATGACGATAATTTAGGGAATTCTGTTTTTTTAGAGAAAAGTATTATCTTTCCTATTTTTACCCAAAATAGGGTGTTGTGAGCAATACACACGTAATTTAATGACTGTATTAATTAATACTGGAAGCCGGAGGGCGCCCTTGCACAGAAACTCCACATATGCATAGTAGAAGTAATGCTCCAGGAAATCCCTAATATGGACAGAGGTATCCAGTGATCACTGTAGCTGAATAAAACGCAGATTTTAACTGAAGAAACCTGAAGACAATAAACATGCGATTGCACAAAATATATAGTATCGGTGTTCTTCAAGCAATCTTGGGTATTTGTATAAGGATAAAGTATATTTTTATAATACAATGCTAATCGACATAGCCTTTACCACTGTATATAATGCTATAAAATAGTATGATTTCTGCCTTATTCTGTGATACAAAACCACGTCTGATCACAAAAATAAGTTTCAAACACTCGACTATGTTATGAAGTTAATATGGAGAAAAAGCATGTCAATAATATCTTTGTTGGACAACAGGTTTGTAAATGACTCATACACGTAAAACTGTATCGCACACGTGCTACTGTAGTACATTTACTCAAGGCTCAGACCGATTTTTGTCGCACTGTACAGCCCTATCCAAACCTGAGCCTTTAGCTCCTGCTCTTCATCTGCAGCTGGAAAACAGCACCGGATCCAGAACAAATGACCTGAAGCTGCTCCGAGCGATTGTCGATTACGTACGTTACAACAGCAGATCACAGATAACAAGTCAGTTGTCTTAATGTGGTTATCATGGCATATGGCTGAACGTGTTGCTCGTGTAATAATGAAAATAATATTGCCGCAAACAACGTACTTTTGTAATATGAAGTATTTACCAGTTCAAAAAGAAAATATAGGGCAAAAAACGTTCATCAGTTGGTTATTATCTGGATTAGGGATGGGCGATATGGACTTAAAACTATATTTTCTGGTACTTATTGCAATGACGATATAAATTACGATAATTCGTATGCATCCACTGAGAGAGAAAAAAATAGGGTGTTGTGAGCACACACGTAATGTAATGTCGGTTTCATTCATACTGGAAGCTAGAGGGCGCCCTCGCGCAGAAGCTCCACATATGCATCACAGAAGTAATAACTGATGAAGTTCCGTGAAATCCCTAATATGGAGAAAAAGACATATGGAGTAAAAAGAAGATAGAAATGCTTAAGCTGATCAAACGTAAAGACAATAAACACACACTTGTGACAATATATGGGTTTATCTGTGTTTTTCAAGCCATCTTGGGTATTTTTATAAGAATAAAGTATATTAATAATGCAATGCTAATCGACATAGGATTTCTGCCTCATTCTCTGATACGAAACCACGTCTGATCACAAAAATAAGTTATTTCAAACACTCGACTATGTTATGAAGAATTTAGAAAAAAGAAGTCAATAAATAAAAATATCTTTGTTGGACAACAGGTTTGTAAATGACTCATACACGTAAAACTGTATCGCACACGTGCTACTGTAGTACATTTACTCAAGGCTCAGACCGATTTTTGTCGCACTGTACAGCCCTATCCAAACCTGCTCCAGATTGTAGAAGGAGCTGCTCAATTTCTGACCATTATCGCCCGCTCCCGTGATTTTTGTGTCCAGTCCCGCAAACATATATGGCATATAATTTTGGCACATCATGGGGCCGCTATCAATACGCAAAGTATTTAAATCTCTTTTGAATGAGCGCTCGCTGTTCACTTTCACGATCATGAGCTCATCAACAAATATCTGATCTTCCTTTACACAGAGCGTGTGTGATCACGAAATCAAATGTGAAAGTGAACAGCGAGCACTCATTCAAAAGAGATTTAAATACTTCGCATATTGATAGCACAGCTATTAACAGCTCGCGTTGGATGCAGTGAAGTCAAGTCCGCATTTTTTCCATGGAATTGGGCTGCTTTTAAACTGTTGCCGTGGCTTGAGTTCCCCCCGTGGGTTAAATGTTTGAAATGTTGCTTAGATTACATTTGACTGAAATGCTTGTATTGAAACATTTTGCATCTTATCTATGATAAAACTGCGCTCGATGTTAAGTTTTCTGATGGAGGGCCACTGGTAGGAAGCTTTTTAGCTGTGTTTTTGATCAATATGCATAACAGTGACTGTAAAATATGTATTTTAGGTATGGAAATGACCTGTTTGGCCTGTTAAATAGTAAATAAACATCTTGTTTATCTATACTTCCGAAGCTTGTTGCTGTATTTATAATGCCTACATAAAAATATGAGAAGCAAGTAAACAGCTTTTTTTTTTTATTGTTTTTATTTTAAAATTAGGCTATATCATAGGGCTGCACAACATGGCCAAATAAATATATTGTGCTTTTTATGTCATATATTGCTATTTGAACTGACACATCTCATTTCATATGAAACGGTCTCATATTTTTACTGCTGAGACACAAAGAACAACAGACTCTGCTGCTACGTGAAATAGTTGCTTCACACTCGAGTTCACTTTTCACAAGAACCAACTAACACGACAAGTTACAATGCAAATATTTATCTTAAATTCTTCAGTTTCAAACATTCAAACCCTCAAGCTTTTAACATGTCAGATCTTTAAACTTTTACACCACCGGTCTTCAGTGTCACATCTAATATGTGTCCCTGCAGCACAAAAGCAGTCTTAAGTCGCTGGGGTATATTTGTAGCAATAGCCAACAATACATTGTATGGGTCAAAATTATAGATTTTTCTTTTATGCCAAAAATCATTAGGATATTAAGTAAAGATCATGTTCCATGAAGATATTTTGTAAATGTCCTACTGTAAATATATCAAAACTTAATTTTTGATTAGTAATATGCATTGCTAAGAACTTCATTTGAACAACTTTAAAGATGATTTTCTCAATATTTAGATTTTTTTGCACCCTCAGATTCCAGATTTTCAAATAGTTGTATCTCGACCAAATATTGTCCTACCCTAACAAACCATACATCAATGGAAAGATTATTTACGCAGCTTATTTATTAAAAAAAAAAAAGACCCTTATGACTGGTTTTGTGGTCCAGGGTCACATATGCAGATTTGGTATCAATATTGAAAACAATTGCATGCATGGAAAACATGATACTTTTTTTTTTTTTTCAGGTTTCTTTGATGACAAGAACATTAAAAAGAACGACATATAACTATTTTCTAGAATTATACATTTATTTACTGTCACTTTAAATCAATTTAATGGTTCCTTGCCAAATAAAGGTATTAATTTATTTCATTTTTTTAACTTTTATTTAAAACAAATTTTAATACAAGGCAGTGTATCATGGTTTCCACAGAAACGGCATATTAGAATGATTTCTGAAGATCATGTGACACTGAAGACTGGAGTAATGAATTACAGTTTAACAGATATTCACATAGAAAACAGTTATTTGAAATTGTAATAATGTTTCATATTATTACTGTTTTTACTGTATTTATTGATCAAATTAAGACACACCTTTCAAAAACATAAAAAATCTCAATGATTCCAAATGTTTGACAGGTAGCGGATCTAACATGTCAGAAGCTCAAGGGTTTGTTATAACTGTTGTCATGATTATTCATGATATGATACAACATCTAGATTTATAAATGCCTTAATAATGCATTATAAATACTGTACAGGCTTCACAGAAATGGCCCATTCATCCTAACATGCATAATGAGTATAAAAGAGCTTGTGAAATGCGCTCACCAGCACTCGATCGTTGATCTTCAGCTCCCGATCTCCCTTCTTGACCGAGCCGCAGTCTGACAGGTTGGACACGGACTCACTCTTTGACCGCGCCAGGTCTGAGGCTGCAGTAGTGGTTTTAGCAGGTGAAGTGGGTTTCTTGGTTGAAGCAGACGCTGGTGTAGCAGAAGGGGTGGGTGACGCAGCACGGGACGGAGGAGAAGTCGTCGTGTCGTCCGCCTCGCCTTCTGTGCGTGAAAGCTTGGAGGGCCGTGTGAAAATACCCTGTAGCGCGTCGCACTGAAAGTAGCGCACACCTGACACCGAGCCATCGTTTTTCCCAATCGGCTCGTCAAGCACAATTCCAGCCCACTGGCCCGGAGCAAACTGGGTCTCTCCTAAAAACTTAATGACGCCCGGCTTGTTGCCATTCACCCAGACACGATCGCCGAGCTTGAACTGCTCTCCTGCATCTTGAGCTTCGGCTGAGGATTTGTCCGCTTGAGTTGGTTTAGCAGCACCTGATGCAAAGGAAGAGAAGAAAACGGCTTTGTTCGGAATCCAAAACTGCACTTAATACTCCTACAGCATGCAGTGTGTGCACAGAACACCTGAAAGATCAACCACGATAACTATTCAAAATGTTTAGCATTGCATAACGCTTAACGTTTCACTCTTTTCTGTGAGCATTACACAGAATACAGTTCAATAGTATTCTATTCCTAACATAACCAGCTATGACTGAGCTACTTTGGAAGCAATATTATTATATACACTACCAGTCAAAAGTTTTTGAACACTAAGATTTTTTTTGTTTTTAAAGAAGTCTCTTCTGCTCACCAAGCCTGCATTTATTTGATCCGAAATACAGCAAAAGCAGTAATAATGTGAAATATTTTTACTATTTAAAACAGCAGTTTTTATTATGTTGAAAACAGCGGAGTTTAATTTTTTCAGGTTTCTTTAATGAACAGAGAGTTCAGAAGAACAGCATTTATCTGAAATAGAAATCTTTTGTAACATTATAAATGTCTTTATCATCACTTTTGATCAATTTAAAGCATCCTTGCTAAATAAAAGTATTAATTTCTATCATTTTTTTCCCCCCCCCCCCCAAAAAAAATATATATTATACTGACTCCAAGTTTTTGAATGTTATAGTGTATAATGTTACAAAAGCTTTTTATTTCAGATAAATGCTGATCTTTGGATCTTTCTATTCATCAAAGAAACCTGAAAAAAATTCTCAACTGTTTTAAATAATAATAATAATAATCAGAAATGTTTCTAATAATCAGCATATTATACTGATTTCTGAAGATCATGTGACACTGAAGACTGGAGTAATGATGCTGAAAATACAGCTGCGCATCACAGAAATAAATTACAGTTTAACAGAGATTCACATAGAAAACAGTTATTTTAAATAGTAAAAATATTTCACAATATTACTGCTTTTGCTGTATTTCTGATCAAATAAATGTAGGCTTGGTGAACAGAAGAGGCTTCTTTAAAAACAAATCTTACAGTTCAAAAACGTTTGACTGGTAGTGTGTGTATATGTATATGTGGTAAAATGTGATCTCACCGACAGAAGGAGAGGTCTTCGTGACCCCAGCAGCGGCTGGCCTGCTGATTCTGCTGGGTGCTCGGAGTCCAGTGGGTTTTGCTGTGCTCATTGTTGCTCTGAAACGGTCCGTCTATATTTGCATGTTTCCTCTCCAACAAACATTGACTGTTGAGGCTGGAGCAACAGTGTAGGGAAAAAAATAAAATAAAAACAAAGTGAAGGAGAAAAGGGGGCAGCGATGTCTGTGGAGAGAAAGAAAAGAGAGATATATCCGCATGTTTAAACAGAGCAGGGGCGTGTCTTGCTTTCTGCCATTTCAGTAATTTCATGCAACACATTGTTTCACCGGTCTGTTAATGCGGCTGAAAGTGTAAAGCCTATTTCACACTGCACACATAAGCAACAAAGGTTATGCACAACAGACTTCTGTATTCTGTTCAACGGGTCTCGTCGCTTCCGGTTCAAGCGTTTTGCATATGCTTCGTTAAATATGAAGCAGTTTTACTCAAGATGCCTTCAAAGAAGATACCAAAGATTATCATCATAACCAATGTCCATCACATATGCGGACTGATATCTAAAGGTTTTTTATTTTTATTCTTGAATAAAACGTCAACAACAAAAACAGCTATATACCCTATATGCAACAGCTGAAATAAAGCAAGTGGCTCAGTGATTCATAGGGATGGGAATCAATTCCAAAAAGAATCGATTCTGAAACACTGAATCAAGAATCGATTCCAAAGGAAATCGACTCCTCTTTAACAGCCTTTTCCAGTATTTCACTTTTTCTGTCGAACGATTTGTTTTAAAAAAAACAAATCGCAGCCCTTCTTTCACACTGTTGTACAATGATGCCCTTGCTTATGCATTTCTAGCAACTCATGCTTGTCATGAAGGTTTGAAAACCATATGTGTGATCACTTGGGATGTAACGATTCACAACTCACGATTCGATTCACGATTTTTTTGAACATAATGAGATTTAAGACAAATTATAAATTAAATGTGTCCTTTTATTATTGCTTGGACAAAATACTGTACGTTTCTTTGTGAAATTTAAATATAACACTATAATATTATACTAATATAGCACTTGTAAATTATTGCTCTTTTGTTGGTTTTGATTGCTTCTCATTTGTAAGTCGCTTTGGATAAGTGTCTGCTAAATGACTAAATGTAAATATAATGTAAATGTAAATAACAAAACTAAATTGACATTTTAAAACAAGCCCCAAATCAAATAAATAAGTAGCACAAATAAAATAAATCTCTTCATATAAACAAACTAAGGCTTTGTCTGTGCTTTCCATTTAAAATTAGAGGCAACCACTGCATTTTAATCATGATCCAAACAAAGATGCTGCACACATGCAACATGAACAGTTTTTAATCTAAATTAGATTGTATAATTTCGAAATTTGAAGCAAAAACAGAATGGTTTGACTT